CACACGGCAACTGGTAGTGCTCCACTTCATAGAGGGGTGTGGGGAACCTATCGCCCCATGCCCCACATGGTCCACCTCCAGCGGAGGGCAATGAGATGGGGAGAAGCATGAGTGCGCATGGTGCATGCATCTTCCCTCCATGCATTGCAATGGCAACACAGGAGCCTCTGCCCTCCTTCACTCACGGAGCCATGCTGGCATCATGTGATGGGAGCCAGCCATTTCAGTGGGTGACCAGGGCTAAATTGGTACATGCCACCGAATTTAGTCCCATGTGAAGAGGTCATAAGTCAAGCGTTTGGTATATATGTGTATTATAGTGGCAAAACAAGCTTGACTTTCAGCTCTTCCTATCTATCTGTGATTAAAGAAAGTGGAGAGGAAAAAGGAGGTATCATACCACAATGTGAATCATCCCAAAGTAGAAGGAGGGGCAAAGGGGAGTTGTGTGAGCATGGAATTCCCAGTATAGTATAGGTAAAGGTTTCCCCTGACATTAAGTCCAGTCGTGTCCAACTCTGGGGGTGGTGCTCATCTCAATTTCTAAGCCGAAGAGTCATCATTGTCCATTGACACCTCCAAGGTCATGTGGCCAGCATGACTGCATGGAACGCCATTACTTTTCTGATTCCACTCACATTTGCATATTTTCGAACTGCTAGGTTGGCAGAAGCTGGGGCTAACAGTGGGAGCTCACTCTGCTCCCTGGAGTCGAACCGCCAACCTTTTGGTCAACCCGTTCAGTAGTTTAACCCAATGAGAGAAAGAAAGACCTGGTGACCAATGAAATTGTGGAACATTTTTTGAAGGTGACATGGAGACCATAAGCACACGTACATGATGTTTCATCCTTTATTCTTTCCATAGGTCTGCAGATTTTTGACAAAATACACATTCTCCAGTTTCCCTCATAGTTATAGGGAGCAGTAGAAGAGATTTACATGAATTATGCAAATCTGATTTATAGACAAGTAATATCAGCATATTTTAAAATGCATGACTGGAATAAAAGCTACAGAATATTCGGAAGGGAACTTCTCTGTATATAATGTTTCACTATTATGCATCAAATTTAAAGTCAATTTGCCATTTTTATTCTTAAGCAAAAAATGAATATTCATGATTCAAGACACTTTGCCACGGAAGCAGATGTATATTACTTGCTCAGGAATCTGGATATCATTATAGTGGCAGCACCCTTAGGTGTCTGTAAGACAAAAAGCTATTTTTAGCAATAGGGAGAAGCAGAAGCTTTAGAAAGCGTGTTCTGCATTTCCACTGTGTGATATCATGAGTGCATTACCATGGCAAAACCATGATCACAATGCAGGCTTGCCTGTATTCTTCCTTTTCATTTCAGCATGTTATTGTGCTATCTCTGTTCTTTCATTCATCCCCATTGTCTTGTCAGTGCTAGACTCTCTTGTAAGACACAGAATTATTTATATGGAATTACATATTCCCTTTCTCCCTACTCACTGCTGCCTGGCCTTTTTCTCTACCTCAGTCTGACTTGATTTTCTGTTTAAGTGGTACATTAATAATCTTACTTACACTAATGTTATGAGAATGAAAGGTAGTGGGAACATAAATAAGAAACGTGAAAAATTGATCAGTAGTAGTATTGTTGTTTTGTCAGCATGATGCGCATTGCAATTGAGGACGTGGTCAGAAGAACAACCAGAAATACTTGGGGATATTTTCCAAGAAAATTATTCTCTTGCAATTCTGCAATCTGGATAACTAAAAAACCACACCATTCAAGTTTTCAGTGATTGGAGAGCTCATCAATCAAACATGAGTGATCTTCACAATATTGAGGCAGTAGCCAAGATTATAACCTCCCTTCTAGCTTTCTATAAACAGTACCCTACATTTCCCAATCTACTGTAAATAGAGATATACCTGGCACTTCTGCTCACCACAGAAATAGAACTCTATTTTATTTACCTTGTAAACACATCATGGTCCATTGCATTATGCAGTGCCTTGCCACCATAGTTTAAAAAAAAAAAGCCTGTAAGCCTGTGCAGGAACAACACCCAACAGGATAAGAATATGTTCTGGATCTGAGCAAAAGTCATCTGCTGATATTTTTCATTGGCTAATTGGTTACGCGTCCATATCTAAGGAATCTGTTAGCTCAACCTCCCCTGATGCAGTCCAAAGAGCCAGAGACTGGATTGGGCAAATGAAATCTATTTAAGATGCAAGGAGCAAGATCTTTCCACTCCTCCCAAAAATGAGTGAAGCTGTGATGAGTAAAGAGCTGAAATGGAGTCCTGCTTCTGTTTCTTGCAACCTTGCTTGTTAATGGGAAGATGGTTGAAATGTTACCCTCTTTGTGCCCCAATCAGAATGGACCTCCTTCACACAATCTGGCTGCCATCTCTTAAGGTGGGTTGAGGTGGGATGAGGGGGAAAATCCCTCTCCCCCCGCCCACCCCGGTGTCATTTTCTCATGCCATGGGGATGCGAGGAGAGGCTCCATTGTGGCCAGGGACCTTTTCGGTTAGTTTTAGGGGGTGAATTGGGGGCTGGGGGAAAGGTGTGAGTGCTCTCCTCCAACTTTGGGCTCCAGGAGCCCAAAGGTGTGGAATGGCTGTGGATACTGGCCCCTGGGAAATGCATAACATGTCCCAGTAGTCAATCCCCACAGACCCAGCACCTCATTACATCCAGATCTTTCATAAAGATCCAGATCTAATGAGGTGTTTAATTAATGCATAATGAACCAGGGAAACCTTGGTCTACTCCAAATTAATTCGCTTTTACCGGAGGCGTCATTTGGATGCCTCCAATAAAAGCGAGACAGGTCCTGCGTTTTGGGCCTTGAGGTTGGATGGAGATTTGCATGTCTTGTTCAGTGTCAGCAGTAAAGCTTTCCATGTAGAAATCCAATTCCATGTTCTAGCTTTCTGTGGAGACTAATGCTGGTGAGCTATTGTTCTAAAATCAGATTCTACCTTCCTGCATTTTTCCTTTTGTCATACCATCAATGTGGTATGATAGAAATTATTACAAAATCCTTACTTTTATGACTGTAGCTGGTAGAGTACTACATGTAAAACTGGAATGCTATTAAGTATAATGAATGTAAAGTAAATTAGAAAACAATAGGATTGTGTTATGATTGTCAAACTGTTGTGTTTTACCATTTTAAAATTTTTAATTGTTTCCCCAACATATTTCCATTGGTTACATTTTATTCATTACAAAGATGCAATTTTCTCTTTTAGATGACACTGTTCACAGTTAGACCTTTTTAAAATAATTGGCTTTGAACTTTGGTAGATTTTACCATTTGTGCCGAAAATGTCAAATTCGAAGAGATCCTGTTGGGTAGTTCCAAATTTGGCAGTATTATGTCCAGCACAAGCATAATGCTTGGTCAAAATTTCAAGTCCATACCTTCATTTCCATGAAAATTGTTGCAGTCTGAATATTGGTCAAAATTTGTCACAACACAACTTGTTTGACTGGATTTTGCATCCATAATGTTAAAATTAATTTCATTGGAATCAGCAGGGAAAAAACTACACAGGATTTCAATTTACTAGCCATTTTTATACATTCAGTTTCAATTTTATTAGACCCCCAAAAAGACATTTTCTTAAGTGTTGCGAGCACACTGACTGATACCACACTGACTGCAGTTAGAGACCTCAAATTTTGTGAAACTTAGTTTAACACCGGACTGGTGCTACAGCTAAAATTTGAACAAAATTGGAGTTGTGATGGTGGGAAGGTTTACACCACTTGGCATGGCCCTTATGCTAGAATGAATCTTATATCCCTGGATCCCACCCCACCCCACCCCACTTTGCAACCAAATTATAAATACAGGCAGTCTCTGAGTTACAAACATCTGACTTTAAAATGACTCATAGTTAAGAACTGGGTGAAACAAGAGGAAGTGAGAGAAATCTCCCCTCAGAAGGGAAATTCATTTCTGAAAGAGTTATCATGGGGGAAAGGGGTCTCCACTGAAGCTTTCTCACCAATCATTGTTTCCTCAACAAGCCATTTTTCAAAATCTAATGATCACAGGGAGACAGAAAGAGAGCTGAAATCTTCTAAACAGGAGCACAGACAGGAAAACAAAGTCCACGGGGTGTTAACCCTTCCCTTTGCTATCCTAAGCATGTGTGTGTGGGGCAGGAGTTACACTTAAAATGCATCTGTTCTGACTTATATACAAATTCAACTTAAGAACAAACCTACAGAACCTATCTTGTATTGTCAAAGGCTTTCACGGCCAGAATCACTGGGTTGTTGTAGGTTTTTCGATCTGTATGGCCATGTTCTAGAAGCATTCTCTCCTGACGTTTCACCTGCATCTGTTACAGAAGTGTGAAAGAATACTTCTAGAACATGGCCATACAGGCCGAAAAACCTACAACAACTCAGAACCTATCTTGTTTGTAACTTGGGGCTGCCTGTACAGTAATAGTATTTTGTCTATATGCAAGCAGCAGAGTTGGGTTTTGTTTTCTTTTTTTTAAATCTGGTTGGTGTGGGAATAGTAATGTATGTCTGAACTGAGCTACAGTCCTCAGCATAAAATTGCTCGGGAATGGAGACAAAGATTTTATTGAGAAAAATATCCAGGTAGACACCAGTTTTCAAAGGAAAAGGTGGCAACTCTGCCAGTCAGAAAGTTTAGCCTATATATGCTGATGTCATTATCCACAAGAGAGTTTTGCCAGAAAATAGAGTGTCCATTCCAGCGAGTCTAGTTGGCAGACGTCTATACACTAAGAGCCTTGTTTCAGAGGGCCTCACAAAGCATCTCTTCAAGAGGCAAACAAGTTGGTCTTTGTAAATAAAAGTTCATGCATTTGCGTGATGAAGTCACTTTCCAAAAATTGTGCTGAATGATATCCTTTTTTATACGAACAGACATGATGCTGGGGTTGGGGAAACCTGGGGGAAGCTAATTAACTGCATTAATTTTCACTTTTTTTCATCAGAGGAGAGTCTGGCTTAAAATAGAGATCTCTTGCTCAAAAGAAAAGCCATTTGAATGCCTCTAGACATGTAGAATGTAGCTCATCATTTCTTTTAATGCCCTATCCTCTTTGACTGGGAATGCTAAAAGAGATGAGTGAGTCAAGAAACTCTTGATTAAAACTTATCTCTAGGATCCTGAGGTGCGAATGACAAAAGTCTGAGTGGGTGGTTCTCCAGCGGGAAGGTGAAAAGGAAGTGATGGTCATTAAAACGTGAGGCAATGCAGAGTTTTGAACAGAGACTCTCATCTGCATCCTGACAGAGGGAAGATAAGGTGGCGGCACAGCTCATGGTGCTTTCCTGGAATACAATCTGCATTTTGACACTCTCTGCTTAAGCACTGCCCATCTGTATATTATTCAGCCAGAGCCTCTGGGGAGAAAGAGGAGCTACAGGCACAGAGGAGAGAGAGAGAGAAAGAGAGAGAGAAGAGAGGAGGGAAGCAAAGGCACTCCTTTAATAGGGGCTGGCTTTCAAACAGCCTTAGAAGTGCCACATCTGGAAGCTGAAACTTAAAATAACTGAGGCACCACTAAACCAGGAGGGGGGCCACCGATTAAAGCAGAAGCAAGCACAGGGACGAAGAAGCTGCATCGGTGGACGTGAGGGGAGGAGATGGCTTTGATCTTGGCCTGGCCCCTGGTTGTTCCTGTCTTCCTCCTGGGATATCTCTCCTTCAGCTCTGCTTCAACGGAGGGCAACGTTTTTCATTTTGACACTGAAGGGAGCTCAGCAGTCGGTAGCCCAGAGGACGCACTTCTCAGAGGGCAGCAACAAACTGTAGTTTTGGGAAGTTGGCCGCACTTTGCTGAGGTATGGCAACTCCTCTCTTTGTTGACCTTTCTCGTCCTTTGTGGGTTTTGCTGTTGTTGTTTTAATGGCACCGTATGGCTAAAGCTAAATGAAGTGTGCCGGATGTTTTAGGATAGCAATGTGGAACACTGAAGGTTTTAGGGCATTTTGGTTAAGGGGAAAGGATTGCTTTGGGCTGTGCATTCCAAAACACACATCTCCTGAGCCTTACTTTGAATAAACAAGAGTGTTATAAAGACATGTCAGCTTTGCTTGTATTTCTTGCAGAAACAACAAAAGTGGGCCTTTCCAGAGAGCACTGTTTCAATTGTCAGCTCACTTTAAATTATTCTATTATACTGGCATGATAAGACCTTTTGATTTGCAATAACAGTTTGAAAGAAGTTTTACTTTATTTTTGTTCAATTTTGTGTGGAAGCATGCCCATGAGAAAGAATGCGGGTATGTGTATACAAAATCTGTAACATATTTTAGTGCTTTTGTGTGTCAAGATTTACCTTCCATTCATTTTCCAGTGCAGTGATGGCACCAATATCCTTCATTGATCTATGATTGTCAGTGGTCACTACAGGGCCAATTGTTCTATTTTCTTATATTGTAATGTATGAAGGAGTCTGTGGTACCTAGGGCCTGAGACATTCCTCATTTCTCAGCTTCAGATCAATATTATATAAGACAGTTCTGCATGGCTATCTCCTCCTGTAATCCCTGAAAGAGATGAGAAACCTGGTTAGTCATATGGAACTCTTTCCAGGAGTTTCAGCTCCATTTCCATAGAGAAACTCTGCACATGGAAGAGATACATGTAAAGAGTTGAACACTCTATAGTTAGACGCAGGAGCCCTGCATGCACAGACTGATCCATCTAGAGCAGGCATGGGCAAACTTGGACCCTTCAGTTGTTTTGGACTACAACTCCCACAATCCCTGGCCTCAGGCCCCTTAAGCAGCTGAGGAGGAAAAGGAAGGGGCACGAGGCCAGAAATTGTGGAAGTCCAAAACACTTGGAGGGCCTAAGTTTGCCCATGCCTGATCTAGAGTCTATGATTTTAATACTATTGTGACTTGCAGACAGAATCCCACTGCCAAAAAGCATACTGTGTAAAGATTAGATGCCTATTCAAGTCAATGAAATGCATATGTCACTAAAACACTGTGCAGAATGCTAGTCTGTAGTACCTGCATGAAATGTTACTGAAAGACAACATAAGTCTATTTTACAGCTGTTTAGTACTTGTAAGTATTTATCAAAGTGTTTACTTCTCAATACATGTGCATGATTTGGAGCAATGGAAAAGAACACCTGGACAGAAACCTAGATATCTCTCTACCTTTTCTAAATAATTGCCATTAATATTTCTAAAAAAGATTATACGAAGGCAACCGGACAATTTTTACTAGCAGGTAATATTTGGCTTGGCATCTTCAGTACTTGAGCTTGTTTGGTTTGGTTGAAATTGTTTAAGTTGCAATTGACATACCAGTGCGGGAAAGAATGCAAGGTTGTTGGGGAAAGAAAAGTAAGCATCTCTCATGTTAGAGATGTGCTGTAGGAGGCGAATTAAGATACTAAAGGTCATGGGAACGGAAGGAGTGTGGTTTTGGCACTAAACCTAGAAAATTAGCAGAGATTAACACAGCAATATGAATTTCACCATAGTGACATGCTCTCCTTACTGGTCTTGCTACATTTAACAGATTAGCCATCTTTAAATTGAGGTCTCAGACAACAATGCAGCCTTGAATTGAACTTGAACTTTTTTCAATCCAATATTCAATTAAGTGTGATTTATAGATCCATTTGATCATTACATTGTTCACCCTCCATTAGGGTTTCTTACTAAGAAATCCCCATAGCCTGACTTCAGTACTTAGCCAAGATCAGGAAGAATAAACGAGCATTACATTTGTTGGGAAAAATTAAAGAAAAATATAAGTCATTCCAGATACTGCTGCATTCGTAATATCTCTAAGTGGAGAGAAGAAGGTAGATAAAATTCATTATGTGAGGTGTAAATTCCTTGTTCATAAAAGTGTTGGAAGGCATCACTACAAAACAGGTTCTCCACCTGCTCCTTAGTAAATAAAAGCATGTGCTATTATGAACTGGTGAACTGCACAATGGGAACCAGAAGAAAAACTAAGTGAAAGGATGTATGCTAGCTGGAGGAGTGGATACAATTCACTTCAGAGATGAGTTATGTGCTTCAATTGTTCCCATAGTGAATAGATCCAGCACTTAGCTGTCTTGGATGGTGCCCAAGACAGGAGAGAGAGAAAAACATGAGAACCGGTCACCACGACCCTCACAAAACAATCATGATGGCAGAGTTGAAGAATAGTTTAGTATTTTGCCTCTTGCATTTTTATGTTAGGATAGATTTGGTTTTGTCTTGAAAAGTGCAGCTTGAGCCTTACAAGGCCATCTTCTGCCATACTAATAGTAAATGAAGAACTATTTTCAATAACATATTCTAGCCTAGCTAGAGACCAAAACTGGATTACTTTATAATACACCTCCAGAAACTTTATAGCCTTGACAAACCCTTTATTTCACAAGAAAGATGGAATTATTATAAACTCCAGTGAGTTTCAATAGAAAAATACAGGTACACACTGAATTCTTTCATTATAGTCAATAGAACTGCCAGGCTAATCATCGTGTACTCCTTAATGAACTACCTGAATTCCACAGTTTATTATAAAGCCTGACTAAATAAATTGGACAGATTGGAATTTGAAATAAATCATCTTTGAGTTATGTGTTGCAGAGTGGCTTGCATTTCTCAAATGTGAAATTCAGAAATTTCAGCATATTCAAGGGCCAGTCCTCTTCTCTACCCACCTATTCCTTCAAGTCTGGCACCACATTACTGAAATTCAGCCATGGTGGGTATTGGATTTTCTTGATCAGGAAAGGATATAAGAGGGCTTACTCTTCTAGTTGAGCTTGTATTTGTCTTTCTACACTTCTGAGTGATCCTGGATCCTTTTGGCATTCTTGTCTTGGCATTCACACCTTACTTTTAACTAATTCCTTGGTCTTGCCTCCTGGTTTGGTTCAGGAATTTTGTCCTAAGTCATAGTTTGTTCCCAGTTCTAAACCTCTTTCCCTAACCATGGGGATGGAAGAATTGAAACCTGGCTCCTCAATCACCTTGAATTTGCAGCCTACACCTCACTCTTGATATTCTCTTGCTCTCAAGGACTCTGGCCCAATTTTATTAACAATTGAAACTGCCATATCAACGTTAAGCCAGAGCTTAGGAGAAAACTCTTAGCAGTCCAGGACTGGTGTCAGATATTGGCATTGTGAGACCCTGCCCCAGGATGTAATCCCAAATATTGCCAAGTCACCTCCTTACTTGTCGTCTTTATTGTCTTTTTCTGTTTGCTGACCAAATGAGCCATGAAAGAAACAAGCAAAGAACTGCAGCTTCCACTCTTATTACCTCCCTCTGGACAGGTGTGTAGATTGAACTTAAGGGGAAAGGGCAATCAATAGGGAATAGAGGAAACAACAAAGATATGGACCAAAACCTGGAAGTACCACTTTTGGGGGACTACAACTCACAGTATTCCCCTCCAAGCATAGTCAGTCCAAAAACACTGACTCATATCGAACCACAGTCCAGCTTGCCCAAAGGCTACATCTATCAAATAAAGAGAGAGGAGAAATTGCAAAATTTCATTTTTAAAGAAATTACACCAAAAAATCACACACACATCCTCATTTTATCCAATATGCCTGATATTTCACATGATTTGGACCCTCAGATAGTATTGTAGTGTCCAAATTTCCAGCAACACCAACATTACTAAACCAGAGGATGGGTCTCCAGTGAAACTGATCAGGGAAGGGTAAACAAAGGTGAAATCTTTGAAGATAAAAGAAAAGCAGTTATGATGTAAAAAGAAATGAATATAGCAAGTGAAAACAAAATGGTATTTTCCCATTGCATATAAGTACACCTATGTAGCTGTTCTCAATGAAGCTGTTCAAAAATGAAAAGAAAAAGAAAAAAGTGATGAGTATTTCCCTATGCATGAAGCATGTTATTTTATAGGCCTCCTTAAAAAAAGAGCAATGCTCTCTATAATATACTTGTTGATTTATTTCTTAGTCTAAATATTGACTCGGGGCTCTCACAAAGTCCGTTAGTCATGCTCAGCAGTGGCAGATTTTATGAAGGCTGGTTTCATGAGAACCACATAATCAGTTCACAAAATATTCTAAGATGGACTCCAGGATCTGAAAAGCCACTAGAATAAAAGAGCATTACATAGTGGGAAAACTATCCAGGTACATGCTATTAATGGGAGAGCTGCAAGGCACTGTGCATTTTACATGATTTTTCACATTTCATGCCTTCATTTGCATGCACACACACACACACACACATACATACATACACACATGTTGTGTCAAAAAATATTAAATCTACAAAAATACCATTCTTTGCACAAGACATTGTATTTTTCAGTACATGCTGTTGTACAAATGACATATTCTAAAAGTCCTGATTTACAATAGCAACAAAAGTCACCTGAACTGTACAAAACCTTTCATAATCTTGTCAGGTAAAAATAAAATGTTTTATTTTTGTTGCTGTTCTCATGTATAAGAAGAAAATCAGCAAATGTTTACTTTGATAGTCCTAAGTAAGGTAACTTTTCAAAAGAAGTGTCTTGCTAATTTTCAGATGAGAGTTGGCAGGAGAATCATGCCCTACCCTTGAAGCCTGTCAAAGTCTGTCAGAATATAAAATATTCCCTGTTCACTCTTCACAATATAAATAAAAACACATTTGGAAATGGCTTATTTTTGTCCTAATTATCTAGTTCAACCCTTACGTTCTACTCAGTCATAACAGGATGCAAGTATTATGTTGCTTATCTGCGTTACACTCAGAAGCCTACATTCCAGGGATTACTATAAGATCACCAGTCCCATTAATTGCTGGCATCTTTTTCTCATACTGAGAAACCACTTTACACAC